GACAAAGAATTGACAAGGCAGCAGCATTCACACCCATGAAAAGGCCTGAGCTTTCCCTCAAATAGAAGATACTACATTAATATCTCCTCTTATCCAGACAAAAGCTAAGTTCCTCGTCAAGTGAAGTTGTGCACACAGCAGTTCTTACAGCATTTGTATTCCTTCACTCTGCTTCCCACAGACAAAGGTCTGTTACACTTAGGAAGGGTTTGATTTTGTACAAACATTTTTAAGTTGAGAAGACAACAACAGCAGGAGTGATTGATACCATCAGCCAGAGAGAGAGGACACAGAGCAACAGCTGTCTGACAACTGACCAGGAAATACAACACATGGTATCAATTATCAATGTGTTTGGATTCAAAGTTGAACACTTGTGAAACACCTACCCACGTGCATTAAATTCAGTTTCAAATCCTCTGTTAATGAGTTCAGCAGGAATTCAGGCATGTAAATTCTGTCCTCTGATGACACACAGGTGCCTCACACCTTGCACCCAGACAAGAGGAACCCCAACATGAGCCAGTTCACGCAGAGACTGTTCACCTTCGCCCCTCAGAGAACAGACTCCCTCTGACCCACACAGATGAGACAACTCCTTTGGCCAGGGCAGTTGGCTCACAGCATTTGGGCAAAAAATGGCAACACCTTCTAAAAGTCATAGCTCAATCATGAGGCAGGGGGAAGGGCTTTGGTAGGAGCTACTAAGGCACTCACCCAGCAGTTCTGCCTGAAGCAGTGTGAGAAAAAACCACAGGTGTAAATCTTCACATACAGGTCTCGCTAATGCTCATGTCTTCATATTAATTCTGCACTAAATACCAGCTCCATCAGACCTCGTTTTCACCACCTAAGTACAGCATAAGAGCCCTTTACTAATGACCAAACCAACTCTCTCACAGCATTACACCTCTGCAGGGAATAGAACAAAGTATGACCAGAGCAGCCAAGTCATTCAGGCTCATTTGATGACACTGACATTCACAGAATCCCACAATGGCTTGGGTTGGAAAGGACCTTGAAGATCATCCAGTTCCAACCCTCCTGCTATGGGAAGGGACACCTTCCACTAGATCAGGTTGCTCAGAGCCCCATCCAACCCAAACTCAAACACTTCCAGGAATGGGGCATCCACTTCTTTTACCTGCAAAGTGGACAAATATTCCCTTGACAAGAACACTCCTGATTTTTAAGAAACCTCACCTTCCGTAGCTTAAGCATCCTGCTGCTTCCCTCTTTCCACTGCAGCACTACCAGTGAAACACTTCCAGGTGCTATAAAAGAAGCAGGAACTGCCAAAGCAGTATCAAAGCACAGTAAACATAAGCTTATGCTCAGTTTCTCATGTCTCATGCAGTAATAAGGTTATAACTGTGATGTTCTAATGGTGTTAAATGATGCAAAATTTTCCCCAAATGATGTAACAAAAAAAAAAAAAAAAAAAGAGACCAGACAAGCTTCTGGGCATATATTTCAGACTTCAATTATTAAAAATTCCTTGCTGAATCATAATAAAACACAGTAACTATGCAAAACAAAACAATTAACATGAGAATGAAAGCACTAACAACACTGAATAAGCCATTATAATAAACCCAGCTGACCAGTCTCAGAGATGCAGAGTGGGACACTTGACTCAAGGTGGATGCAACAGTTCCCTGCACAACTGACTTCCCTTCACCCCAAAAGGCAGCCCTGGAGGATTCTGTGTGCACAAGCAGCACCACACATCACCTCGAGTTAAGCTCACTGCCAGCCACAACTCACAAGGCAACACACCTACAAACTAGAACCATAAGTTTACACAAAATTAGACTTCAAGACAATCCTGAAGAATGTCTACAACCAGCTCAGGCTACAACTCAACTAAAGGAGCCCAGAGCTCAACTCCTCATGGTACTTCCAGTGAAACACACACCAATTTAAAACCAGAATGCACATGACCAGCAATATGCATTTACCTTTTGTTTGGGGGCTGTTGGAGTCTTCCATAGACAGCTTCAGCTGCTGGATGAACTCGCTGCCATAGACGCTCCTCTCCTGCCAGATGTTCAGCAATCGTTCCAAGGGCTTCTTGCAGCCCTCGTCTGCTTCTCTGTTCAAAGATTAGGAAATCATTACAGCTCAGCTGATCAACACTCCTGATGTTTTAAGAGAGCATCTTCCAAACTACCAGCTGCACCCACTGCAATATATGCACATGTGAGAGAATCTTTCTCATAGTGTCTGAGACAAACTGTGCCAAACACATTTGTGGCCAATTTCCCCCTTTACTGGAACTAAAGATTGCCTGGAAGTGCCCCACATTCCCACCCCAAAGCAAAGGCAGGTAAAGCTGTAAAGGAAGAAACCTGTTATGGTTCAGAATTTGCAAGAAGAGTTATAAAATACCCTCAAGCTGACATGTTTACAACTCAAGAGTATTAACTTTAAACAGTTGTTTCAGTCAATAACGTTGCAATTAAAAGCAGGTTGATTGGATCATTAGGCACTTAAATGCAGTCAGAGAGCACACTGACATCAGACAGCCCTCCAGAACAGACACCAAACACCCAGAGCATTGATGTTGCTTAGCTAACAGGAATTATTACGCTATTTAGAGAAAATCTCAACTAAACTACAGTCCATTTCTGATAAGGTGGTGGCTGCATCACTTCTTCCCTTTTATGTAGGAAATCCTTCCCTCCTCCAGCAAGGACACTACTGACCAGGTAGAACAAGCAACACACAAAGAAACCACGCTCAAAGCAGGGGGGTGGTGACATTCCAGTGACCCAAAACATCTTCTGACAGTGGGGCAGAGCCATTCATTACTGGCTTTAATAAACACACCCAACTGCTCAGTTTCACTGCTCAGGAACAGATCCGCCAGATCCTTTGGGAACAACTGAAATGAGATCCAGAGGGTGTGAAGGGCTGGTTCACACACAAACAAGTTTGCCTGAACAGAAATATTAACACTAAACAGTTCCCAGCTGCAAAGCAGTCAGAATCCAATCTCTATCACAGACAGGGTACGACCATCCCTGAGACTTAAAAAAAACAATAACAAACAACAAAATCCAGTTGAATTAAACTTTGAATAAGAAGGATGCAAATCCCTAGAGAGGAAAGTTGAAGAAATGCAGCAACATACCTGGCAACATGAGAAAATGCATCCACAAGAACAGATTCGAATTCCCTGGTAAATTCAGGACCTTTCCTCTTACTGTTCTGGATGACATCGTTTGCTAAATATAGGAAAGTAAGTTTCCTACTTGATTTTGCTGAGAAAGGGAAAAAAAGAAGGAAAGAAAAAAGAGAGAGAGAGAGTTTGCCTTTATTTTTCACTTCTTTCACCCAGAATCATTATCATGTCTTTCAAAGTTGCCTATAGATTTGCAGTCTAAAAGTTCAAAATATTTCTCTGTTACCAAGGCAAGTCAGGAATCCTGAAGCCAAGTAGTTCTAAATCTCCTCACTTCTGCTCTTTTTTAACCCATAACACAAACATGAGTTTAATCCTTTTTGTACACAGTGACCCCTCAACTCTGAAAAAATCTGTGTAATAAACAAGTTTTAAACACATGACTAAAAAAAGCTGTCCTAACCCACCAGTAAATTAATAAAACAACATATTTCATTTTTTATTAATTAACTTCAGGAAAAATACTTGATACAGAACCCCATAATTCAGAACAGAGTAAAACTGTAGGAGAAAGCTATTGCAGAGACCCAAATATTTTCCAAACAATGCTGTGACAGAGCAACATCGAATTTCTTCCATGTACCATAACTTTTCCTCTTTTGACACCACTAGTTTCTATCTCACTGTGGTCAGAATCAGTGGGATTCACTGTTTCCTCAGAGCACAACGGCCACAAACACGCTCAAAGCAGAAAACAAAAGTGCTCATTTCTACAGCAGGTCGAGCTGGGATCTTCCAAACCTTTGTATCAGTCACACAGAAGATACTCCAGCTACTCCAAAGGGCTCACACTGCTGGTGCCAGGGGTGGGAATGGTGATATTGGCTGGTTTCAGAGCTGAACTTGGGGAAAGGGCATTCACACAGAATCCCAGAATGGTTTGGGTAGGAAGGGGCCTCAAAGAACACTTAATTCCAACCCCCTTCCACCAGACACCGACACTGCCAACCTCCCTGACTTCATGATGAAACCATCCGGAAAACTACCTTAATTTAACTTCAGTCAAGTTAATCTGCAAGGAAAAAAAAAAGCTCAAAGTATTTCTGGATGACAGCACCAAAGAGATACAGATGGAGATATACACGTAGATCGCTACAGCCACTTTTTCTTTGCTTATCTCTTCTCCCCTTAATGCAATTCTATAATGGGCGAATCGTATGAATCCAAACCCAAGAATTTAAAACCAAAATCTAAAAGGTAAACAGCCAGAGCACGACACAGTTGCCCTGAGCACACCCAGGGGAACACAATCCGTACGTCTCTGTTTTACACGCAGAGAGCAGCGAGGTTGAGCATCCTCCCAACCACACTTCGCTGCGTCTCCATCCCCTGCCTTCCCAAAAGCCGCCTTTATCAGCATGCACTGGGAAACACCCCTCACACAGGCATTTCCCCGCAAAGTTTATTAAACAACCACAACAGCAGGGAAACAGCGCCCAGGCTCCGTTAAACTCCCGCCTCCCGGGTCACCAAGTTCTCCCCGCGGAGCTCCGACACCGCCATAAGGAGGAACCGGCCCCGGGGCTCCCGGAGCGGCCCCCGACGAACAAACCAACCCCCCCTTCCCCCGCGCACCTTTGCGGAGCTCCCGGTGCCACACGGCGACGATGGGCCCCGCGTGCTTGCGGTGGTGGATGAGCCACAGCGAGAGCGTCTGCACGCTCTGCTGCGAGTTGCTCAGCTCCGACAGCTTCTTCTCCAGCGCCGACTCCGAGAAGGAGGACATGGGGCCCGGGGCCGCTCCGCCCGCCGCGGGGGGGGGCGCGGCGCCGCCTCAACGCGACAACAAGCCCGCCGGGGCCGCCGCCACAAGATGGCCGCCCGCGCCCCTGCCCGCCGCGGGCCGCGGGGCGTGCCGCCTACGGAGCGCCGGAGGGAGCCGGGCATTCGCCTGCGCCTGCGCACTGCGCAAAGGCGACTTTCTCTCAACGCCGGCCGCCCCCGCCCGGCGGAGCTTTTGTGGCGCCGACAGCGCCGGTGCCTGCCTCGTCACTTCGGCACCCTCAGGGCCGCCCTGGCGCGGCGCCAGCGCGGATCCCGGCCCCGGCAGGGCCCCCCGGCATGGCGCGTGTTCGACACCCCGCAGGCCGCCTTCGGGGCGCTGCGCCCCGCCTGCGTGCAGCTGACGCGGGCGCAGACGGTGGAGAACGTGCGGCAGCTGCAGGCGCACCTGGCCGCGGTGAGCGGCGCGGCCCTGCAGGAGCTGCAGGAGTACGTGCTGTTCCGCCTGCGCTTCGCCCTGGCGGGTGGCCGGGCCCCAAGCAGGAGGCGGCTGGTGCAGAGCCTGGTGCAGTGCATCTCCTCCGTGCTCGCGGCGACGTGCGTGAGGAAGCGGGAGCTGCTGCAGGAGCTCTTCTCCGAGCTCTGCACCTGCCTGGCTCCCCCGCCCAGCTCGGGCAAGCCCGCTCCGCTGTCCGAGGAGCTGAAGCTGGCCGTGATCCAGGCGCTCCACACCCTGATGCATTCGGCTTATGGGGATGTTGTCTTGTCCCTGTACCAACCCTCCACCCTCCCGCTCTTGGGATTTGCAGTGTCTTTGCTTCTGGGCCTTGCAGAAAAAGAAAAAGCAAAGCAAATCAAGATCTCTGCTTTGGAGTGCTTACAGGTCCTGGTTCTGCAGTGTGACTGCCAGGAGCACCGACACCTGGATGAAGAGGAGGCACAGCAATGTGGGGATTTGTTTGCTTCTTTTCTGCCTGGGATTTCCATTACGCTGTCTCGGGTTATTACTGGAGACATCAAACAAGGTCACAAAACCACCGTTTCTGCCATCAGACTCTTCTATCTGATTGTTGGCTGGGTAATGTCTGATGCACAGCTAGCCAGAATCCCAAAGAGTAAGGAAAAGCCGCCAGTGGAACAAAGCAGAGTATCAGAGCTAATGGTCCACAGAGGACCTGACTGGAGTAAAAGTACTGCTCAAAAACTCTCTCTCCTCCTGCATAAAGTGGTTGAATCTTCTTCAGTTCACCCTCACTGGAAGGTGAGACTGGAGCTGGTAGAACTGGTCCACCACTTACTGAGTAACTGCAGTCAGTCACTGGTGGACTCATTCAGTCACCTCTTAAAGGCCTTGGTTGGGCTGGTTAACGATGAAAACAGCGAAGTCCAGAGCAGGTGTAACGAGGTTCTGCGAGGCATCGCAGAGCAGAGGATCGTGGTGCAGAACAGGGCTCTTGCTGACGTCCTCTCCGAGAACCTCCATTCCCTGGCCACAGCCCTTCCTCGCCTGATGAACTCCCAGGACGACACGGGCAAGGTCTCCACGCTGAGCTTGTTGCTGGGCTACCTGAAGCTGCTGGGCCCTAAGATCAACATTGTCCTCAACTCCGTGTCCCACCTGCAGCGCCTGTCCAAGGCGCTGGTGCAGGTCCTGGAGCTGGACGTGACTGATGTGAAGATCGTAGAGGAGCGGCGCTGGGGGCCGCCGGGCTCCTGGCAGCAGGGTGTGCAGAGGGGCAGGCACCAGAAGAAATACTTCCGCTTCTTCACGGAGGAGAAGGTTTTCCAGCTCCTTCAGCAAGTGTGCCGTGTTCTTGGCTACTACGGGAACCTCTACTTGCTGGTGGATCACTTCATGGGGCTGTACAGCGAGTCTGGCCTGTACCGAAAGCAGGCAGCCATGGTCCTCAACGAGCTGGTCATGGGAGCTGCTGGGCTGGGAGTGGATGTCCTGCAGGGGAGGGAAGTCCCGCCGAGCGTGGATGATCTCAAAGGGTCTGTAACATCCATTCTGGATGAGTACACTGACCAGGCGAACTGGTATTTGATCACCAGCATTGACACAGAAGAAGCCAGCCCTGAGCACTCTGTGCAGCGCTCAGGACTCACTGCCCGTCCGGGAGGTCCGTGCAGCACCGTCCTCCTTCCATCCCCGGAGCCCCAGGTCACGACCCGCTCCATGAACAGCAACATCTGGCAGATCTGCATCCAGTTGGAGGGCGTTGGCTGCTTTGCTGCCGTCCTTGGGAAGGAATTCCGGCTGCTGCTGCTGTCAGCTCTGTACCCTGTGCTGGAAAAGGCTGGAGACAGGACTCTGCTCATCAGTGAGACGGCACTGGGGACACTGGCAGACATATGCGAGGCCTGCAGTTATGACTCGGTGCAGTGTTTGATTAATGAGAATTCTGACTATCTGGTGAACGGGATTTCCCTGAATTTGCGCCAGCTGGCACATCAGTCTCATGCTTCCCAGGTCCTGGACACAATGCTGAGACATTCGGATGCCAGCCTGCTGCCACTGGTAGAAGACATTATCCAAGATGTCCTGTCTGCACTAGATCAGTCTTACAACAACCAGGCTTCCACCTTCCTCAGGGTCCTCCACTCAGTCATGACAGCTCTAGGTACCAAAATGATGTTTACTTTGTGTAACTCAGCCTTGCTGTCACTGAGGGTGCTTGTCTTGGACCTTTCCATTTGCTGTGGGAGGTTTCAGGAAGCCGAGGTGCTGTAGCATGATGGCAACTGTGCTTTGCTTGGTGGCCAGTGCTCAAGCAAAGATCACCAGTAGCTTTCTCTCTCCAGTTTCTGTCTGGCCTGCAGCCTTGCAGGAACGTGGCCTTTTGTGGCTGAGAAAGGAAGGATTCACTGCTCCCATAAGTGTCTTGTAGGAGTACCTGGAGTTTATTGCTTTTTGGTTTTAACGTTCCCATACCATCAGGGAGGTGACAGGGATGTGACAGCAGGTGCCTGAGTCTGTAGTGCTGTCCCATGAGACACGAGAGCCAAGCTCTTCTCTCAAGGAATCATGGCACCTTGCTGGCTTGCAGGAGGGGATCGTGGCTGTTCAGTGACGTGTTGGTTCCTCTTTTGCAGTCCAGTGGTTTGGAGCGTGCAGCGCTGAGGAACACCAGCAAAGGCAGACTGACAAGGGGCAGAGCAGGACTCAGTCCCAGGGGCAGCAAGAGGTGACAATGACAAGGCAAGAAGTGGAACGATTCTTCCTTGACTACGTGAGCCAGAAGCAGATCGCAGAGGGTGATGTTCCTGACACGGGGGAGGAGGAGGCAGGTCAGTACTGTGCATGGCTGGAGAGGAGCATGTTCAGCTTGCAGAGAGACCATGACCTCCGAGGTGTTCCTTTGTCACATCCAGGACCTGGGACCCAGCTGACAGTCTCAGGTCTACTTTGAGATGATCTTGGTTCATGTAAGGTGCTGCTGCGTGTTCTTGCTTTGTTCTTTATGAGGGCGGGAACAAAACATTTGCAGATCAAGGCTTCTCTAGCTCTAAGACACGAGCACACTGTTTTTCCTTACCTCGTAACAGGTCATTTGGGTTCAGTGCCAGAAGTTTCCTCTTTCCAGGATCCTACTGCATTTTCCTCCTCACGTTCCTTTGGGAACCCCTGTGCCATTTTCTCCTGGCTAATGATGCCACCGCTCCCTTCTCACTTGGTCTGGGCAGGCACTGCAGACATTCATATGGGGAACTTTTTTGTCTTTGCTTGGCTGTGCTGCAATCCTGACCTTTAAATACTTCATCTTTAAATACCCAGGCTTTTCATTTTTAATAAAAATCAATGGGAAATAAGTCCATGGTGAGAAGAAACTGCAAATGTCAGACCAACTGCATTGTCCCGTAAAGCAAGCGAACCTTCCCTAGCCCCAGCCCTCTTATCTGAACCTGACACTACCTCACAGAACTCAAGCATAGGCTTGACTGTGTCTAATTACACTAAAAAATGCCAAAGGCCTCACTCAGGAGTTTTCAGAGTAGTTATAAGCAGGTACTGCAATCTCCCAGAGCTCCCAAGTCATTTTTGTAGCTTCAGGAATGGTTTTGTCTTCCAGATGAGGTTCCCCCCCTTGCTAAGGCAGAGCCCAACAACTGTGACACTGACGGAGAAGCTCCACTGCCGATCCACGCTCAGCTGGCCAGGGATGTGATGGAGAGGTGCATCCACCTGCTGTCTGACGGGAGCCTCCGAGTGCGGCTGAAGGTCGGTACTCGCTGGCTCTGAGGGGACAGATGGTGCCCACGAAGGGGCTGGTAGCTCGTCAGCGTGTGCACCGTGCACGTTGGGCTCCCTGCCATCCCCAGGTTCGTGCTGCCATATGCTCAAGCAGGACAGGTCCTCCAAGCCCGGCAAGAGAAAGGGAGACAGTTTTCTGGGAGCGGTTTGGGTTAGGAATGGCAGCCAAGCTGAACAGAATCTTGAGGGGGGCTTTGTGTTGGGCGCCTTCCCTTGATGCTCGTGACAGTTAAAGTCTTGTGCTTCAGCCTTTGGTGGAAGAAGCAGAAGCATCTTTCTTCCATCTGGGCCTCCCATCCCCCTTCCTCAGGCTGCAGTGCACAGGCTGATGAATGTTTTTGAAGTTGCTGGGGTGATGATAAGCAGGGCTAAAAGCCTGGCTTTTTTGTAATTATGAAAATCCTTTGAAGGTGGCCTCCTTTTAAAGTGCAAAGCGAGACAGAAAATGCAGCAGTGAGGCATAACCCAGATTCTCAGCCCAGCAGCCCCAGCTCTGCCAGGTGATCCTGCTGCCCCCGTGGGATCTGAATGTGCAGTTCAGCCTGTGGGATCAGGCCCGGAATCCTGCCCTGCTCCCAGCCCAACTCTGTACTCAGCACAAGTTATATCACTGCAGTACTTGTCCCTTCCAAACAGGCCTGTGCTCTGAGCACTGTTCACTTGTCCCAGTTCCTGCTGCAGTAAAACCACACCCTTTGCTATTCAAACCCTGCTGGCTTCCCAGTGGGATGCTGGGATCCACCTGAATGCCTGGCACTGCAGCACTCAGAGTCTGTTCCCTCCCCTCCTGCCCAGGTCCTGGACGTGCTGGAGCTCTGTGTAACTGTGCTGCATCCTCATGGAAACCATCTGCTTCCCATGGCTCACCGTGTCTGGCCAGCTCTCGTCACCCGGCTGATTAGTGACGACCCTCTGGCAGTGCTCAGAGCCTTCAAGGTACGGCAGCGACTGCCAGCAGCCTTCAGGCTGGGGCTTGGAAGGGAAGTGGCTTGAGCAGTGCTGCAGCTCTGGAGAGGAGCCCCAAGCTTGTGCAGCGATGTTTAAATGGGGTTTGGAGCATGGGATCACCACCCTGCGGTGGGTGGGGCTTGTACCACTCCCACTGCAGCTGGTCCACGGGTGAACCCTTGGCACTGTTCCTGGGGGAAGCAGCAATGCTGGTGGTTGTTGCAGGGACAAACAGAACCGTTCTACAGCCTGAGCAGCTGTCAGAGGCACTGTACAGTGCCTTGCTGGAGCCACAGTCCCAGCACCCTCTTTGGAGGTCTCAGGCTGAAGATAAGGGAATATTTCACGATTGAGGAATTGGCAGGGCAGGGGAGAGGTTAAACAAAGACTTGACATTATTAAAGAGCTCCTGACCTTGTCAGCTGGCTACAGTCTCCTCCTGAGTCACAGGATGGCCAGTAAAGCACGTTTCCAGAGGTTGTGAGCCCCAGGGTTTCACAGGGATTCATCTGCTGGGCAGAATGAGATTCATTTTAGAATCCTTCAGTGTGAATAAAGAGAGTTTTGATTGCCCAGATTCAAGAAGCCACGCACTAGAATTTCAGAGTGGCCATATCTGTCATGTGCCTGCCCTCAAAGAAGGGAGAGATTTGCTATACAGAAACTAATTAACTCTTGAAAAGTTCAAGTGATCATTACAATTAGCCACCCAGCTTGGGTTTTGTGTTATGAATTCCCCTTGGAGTGTCTTTCTGCCTAAATTCCAAGACAAGTGTCTTATCAGTGTAAGGCAAACACAACATAACCAGCATCTCCATCCTGCACACTGAGACCATGATCTCAGTAGAGTTTCAAGAGAAATCAGCATTCTGGCCCCATGGATCCCCTTTTGTTTTTACATGCATTTAGGGCCATTCTCTGCCCAGTTTGGGTTTGATCCTGGGCACACACCAGTAGTGCTGAGTGCCCTGTGCTGTGGCCAATTGGCCTTTCTGCTCCCTTGGGTGCTTCGAAAGATGGGCTGTCTGCACCACGAAGGGGATTTTAATGATATGATGATATTTAATGGCATTTTCCATCAGAGGCTCCTCCAGTAATTTTGAGTAAGACTGCACAGCTGCTCTTACCTTTACTGTGCTAATGAGAGAAGGGCAGCCCAGGAGGTCAGACAGGTGAACACTGCAGAGCAGGGTGCAGCTCACTCAGCCTCTCAAACATTCACCTTTTGCTCATTATGGGGAAACTGGAGCAGATGTGGTCACGTTGCTCTCACCTGCAAAAAAAGTTCTCCAGGGGGAACGAATGCCTGAACCCCCTGAGCTGGCGTGGATCACTGAGCTCCTCCCAGGCCCATGTGTGCACTGCACCCCTGTAACTGATGTCTCCCTTAGGTGCTGTGTACCTTGGCTCAAACATGTGGGGACTTCCTGAGGCAGAGGTTCTCCAAAGACATCCTGCCCAAGCTGACCAGTTCCCTCCTCAGCCAGGCCCCAGCAAGTGCCAGAGCCGGGCCCGTGTACAGCCACACGCTCGCCTTCAAGCTGCAGCTGGCTGTGCTGCAGGGTCTGGGCTCTCTCTGCGAGAGGCTGGACATGGGTGAGTACCAGGGCAAGCACAGGTTGTATGGATCTCTGCCAGCCTTGCCTCTTCTTTCATCTCAGCTTGCTGCATTCTCCTCCTGCTGCCCCGTGGGATTGATTTCCTGATCTTCTCCAGCCTGGATCTGTCCTCTTGGGAGCTCTGTAAAGAGGTGCTGGGTGCACTTCACTCCCCAGGAGACAAATGGGAGAGAAGGTTCCCAGCACATGGAAAATCTGACTGCTCATCCCACCTGTGCATGGAAAGTGGGTATGCAGTGGAGTGTCTGGGTTGCTGTTGGGCCATGCTTTGTTCTTACCTGACAAACTGGAGCCCAGATAAGAGTTCTGACTAGCTCAGCTGGTTCCATTTTGGGGCATCTCTCTGGGTGACCCTTTAAATCCAGCACATCACACTCTTCTACTGAATGAAACTCTCAGAAATTCATCAGAGTTAAATTTCTGGAGCTGACTTTGATGAGGGAGAAGGTTTGCTGGCGAGTTGCTCTTTTCCTCTCCCTGCCCTTGATTGCTTTCCTGGCTTTGCAGCAAGATGCTTAAGAGGCAAGGTCAGAAGAGTTCCAGGTCAGACAGCTCAAAGGCTCAGAAGCCTCTTGCTGCCAATTTGGAGCTGATTCCATTAGGCAGCAGCCGCTGAGGAGGTCACCTCCTACCCTTCTTTCCTGTTCCATTTCTGCAGGCGAGAGTGACCTGAATAAAGTGGCAGATGCCTGCCTGATTTACCTCAGCGCCAAGCAACCCATGAAACTGCAGGAAGCTGCCCAGAGGTAATGTCTCTCAAATACAGGTGTGTTGGGTGTACAGATAATGGGGAACAGAGGGAGCATGGTGATCCCATTCCTTTTGCACCTTTCTTGTTCCTCCCTCTGGCATGCTTGAGTCCTGTACAACGGGGTCTCTTGTGGAAGTTTTCAGTGGTGAAGTATCATTTACTCTCCAGAATGAGCTAGAGGTCAGCTGTCAGTTTGCTCAGAAGTTACAGTTGACTTTCAGGTGACCTTGCAGTGCATTTGGGTACAGAGGGGAAGATTTGCTACTTGCTTTCTTCCTAACCCACTCCTATGCCCGAATATTTGAGGCTCTTGGCCCACTGGTGGCATCAAACTGCAGAGGAAAGACAGCTCTGAAAGGGGATGTGCCAGGCATTCCCTTGTATTTTATCACTTAATACCTTCTGCAGGCTGGGGGATTTACTTCTGTTATCCTTCCATTTTCCCTTGGCTCCTGTCATCACACCAACCCAGGCTCTGCCAGGTAAACCAGAGTTTGTTTGGGAAGCTGTCAGTCTTGGCACCACTGTTGCTCTGAGAAGGCCGGGAGAGTCTGAAAGAGCACAAACAGTTTAGGTGAACACACACCAGCTCTATAAAGTGTTGACAGACGTATTTTGCTGCTTGGTGTACAAAATCCTGCTCAGCATGTTCCTGCTGTCAGGATAAGAAATCACTATTGTCATATGTTGTCACCTGGAACCAAGGCCGGAGATTTCAGGAGACAAAACGAGTCCAGTTAACAGAACACAGGACATAAATCACAAAGTCGGGCCCCTCTGCTGAAGGACGGGGGTGAAAGCCAGCCCCCCTCTTCCTGTGTGGCCAGCCCTGCCCTCCCTCGAGGGGAGGGGAAGCCAGCAGGTTCCGCAGGCTCTGCGGCTTTCAGATTTCCAGGGCAGGCTGCTGGAAAGGGAAGCAAAGGGAAGGGCATCCCATCCGTTCCCTTTCACAAAGCACGGGCTCCCAGGGGCGCAGGGGCTTTGTGTGGCCGGGCGGCAGTTCCGAGCCGAGCACTCTCCGGGGCCGGAGCATTCCTTTGTTTGCATCCCCGCGGGGGTGGGAGGAGGTTTATTTTTACCTCGGAGGCTTTCACGGCAGCACAGCAGGCTCCGGGCGGCGTTTGTTCTGCAGAGGGGCTCTGCGCTGTGGGCGTGCAGACCCTTACGGCAATAAAGCGTCGTCTGTGCCGGCAGTGCTGGGTGGAAAGCAGAGCGCCAGGATTCATCTAGATATTTGGAATCTGAGGCTTTTAAATCATTAACTAAGCAGCTTGAGAAGCTGTGCGATTTCCCCCCCCCCTCCTCAGCAGGGGTGGAGGGAATACAAAATGAGCCCTTTTAGAAGCTGCACGCTGAAGCGAGCTCACTTGTTGGAGGAAAAGGGCTGCAAAGTTCAGGGCAAGTAGCGTTTTTCTCCTGCATACTGTTTTTATTCTATTTAAAGGGAAAAATGCCATATGTTTTGCTCCTCCCCCCATGCCTTTGATGCACCATACATCGCATATGTCACTGAACCAAGCTGCTCACAGAAGTCCTTGCTCTCTCCTCTTTAACTCCATTGACTAGACGTGTATGCACTGAGGCATACATTATGTCTGGCCTGACAGTAACCATGCACATGGCAGCACTTGGGGGGTTTCTTCTGGGGTTTATTTTTTTGGTTTAGTCTTGTGTGATCCCTGGTCTTGGAGCCTGGATGGATCAGAGTTAATGGTATCACACTTTTAACTATAGTACTCTAATACAAGGTTTTAGCTTGGAAAAGTCAAAATTAGTTTGCACCATAACAATCAGCTCCAGCACCTGGATAAAAATCACCTCTCAGCCACACTTCAGTTTCCATTCTCCAGCTGCTGAACCACCCCATTGCTGTAAGTTCTGGCCCTTCTCCTTCCTCTGCATTAGCCTGAGAGTAATCCTGCAAACTGACACAGGCTGTCACACATAAGGCCCTTTCCATCTAGGCAAGGGCAACGTTATCAGCCTGACACATGAGAAATTCTGCATTTTAAATGCTTCTAAAAACAGATAGACCAGAACTAATCTTAGCCCCAGCCTGAGTGCCAGCATACGTCACATAACTCAGCTTTATCACTGCAGAAATCAAATGAGGTAAAAGGATGTTTGGAATCAGCTTGCCACAGTGATTTACACTAACTGGCCTTTGCTCAGCTCTTTGGATTCTTATTCAACTGGTGGGTTGTGACCTGTCAAGAACAAGGTCAGGACTCAAACAGTCAGTTGTATCTCCAAACACCCTGCACTGTCTCTGTGAGGATTTTGTAGGCATGCAATGGGCTGAGCAGGAATTTTTGGCCAAGGTGCTGGAGCCACAGTAAAAAGGTGGTAGGAAGGAAAAAAAGTTTGGCTGTCATCCATGGATGTTATCATGCCCCAAGGAGGCTGCTTAATCCCATTTATGGGACCCTGTAGTTTTATTAGATGAAGCAGTGGGAGTAAGTGATTTTTTGTAACTGCAGCTTCATGCAATACTCAACAGGCAAGAATAGATGCTGGGAAAAAAAGAACTCCAGCATGTCTGAGGAAGAAACAAATGGAACAATAACAATAGGTTTTACTAGAAGATGACTGCTGGGACTATTCCAGGAGAGTAGTCTCCAAAGCTTTTTGAAAAAACCAACCAAACAACAAACAAAAAACCAAATGCAAAATCCCCAAAAAGACCAAACCCAGTGAAGAACAGTTTGGGAATTCCAGGGGCACTAGATAAGTCTTTGCCTTCACTGAAGATGAACCAGTGCAAAGGGTGGGTGAAGTGCCCAGAAACACTTGAGCAGCAAAAGGGGGCTTGTGGGATCTCAGCACTGGGAACAAGGTCAGGGGAGCTGGTGAAAGTTCCAGTATGTAAATTTAAGCTTCTTGTCAATTCATGAAGTTGTGTCATCCCTGACAAGCGTTTCACTCCAGGAAATAAAACCTTGAAGGAAAAGAGATTAAGAAATTGCCATTGGCCTCTGTCAAGACTGACAGGTAGTCTTCATTCTTTCTGTTTCAAAATTTACACTTAATTCTTACTGAATGTTTGCAGCCTGTGAAGTTTATGTTTGGCCTTTCAGTCAACAGCCTGGATAGGAATGGGGTTTTTCCCTCCCCCTAGATGCAGAAATAATTTTCCCAGTTCTTACTGAAGCCTGTGGTGAGCTGTATCCAGTTAAACATTGAGCAGGGATAAAAAGCCAGGAAGCCTTGTCCTTCAGCCAGCCTGGTCACTGTGCCCTGGCTTTGCTTAGAGCTTGGGAAAACACAAGGCAATGGAATGGCCCAGCTGCTCTGTGCTGGTAAAATAAGTTCAGTACACCTGGGACAAATACGAGCTATTTTGGGACCTTTTGAGATACCAAGGTTGATTATGCAGCTTACCTCTTTTGGTTTGGTTGTGTGGTTTGCAGGATACTGATTGTCAGCTGTCATTCCCCGGCTGGGCTGAAGCACACCAGAACAGCCACCTGCACAAAGCAAAATTCAATAAAGTGATATTTAAGAAAAAGAAGAAAAAAAGGCAACAATAGAAAACAAACTTGGATTAACCCCAGGATTCTTTGCTATGGAAACAGGTTGCTTGGAAACTACCCCAGAGTTAGTTTGAACATGTAAAAGTCAAGTTGTTCTTTAAGCTGCAGAGCACTCCGAGCTATCAGAGATAATCACAGCCTCGAGCCATTACAGGCACCAGAGGCAGCAGTGCTCCAAGGACTGGATAATCTCTGAGGGTCGCTCTCCCCCGGAGCAGCTGATTGTGGAGAGGTTGGAGAGCAGAGTGCCTGTGCTGTGAGTGTAAGAGCTACAGCTGTGGTGTGCTGGGGAGCAGCAGCCAGCTGAGCAGTGTTCCACATTCCCGTGTTTACTTCCTAGCTGTTCACCACCTTTGCCCAGTCCTTTCCCAGCTGTAAGGAGCGAGGATTTTTTTTCTGCAGCTGCCCACCAGCAGCAGCCCATCATAAACTGGGGGGAACTTCTGGGACCTGGTGTTTGCTGGCAGACAGAGCTGTGTGCTCACACTGGCACAGCCAAGCGAGCACCAGGGACAGGGCTTGGAGAGCTGGAGCCGGGATATCAGTGGTGTAAGCTCTGGACCCTGCCCCTGCCAGCCAGCCTGTGCCTCCCTTGGTTTGGCACAGAGTGGGGCCAGTCCTTCCCTTCCAGTCAGCAGAGCTGCAGGAACAAAGCTGGTGGAGGAAGGAGTCCTGTGAGCTCACCTGCATCTGGCCATCCCATCCCACAGAAAAAAGTCATGTTGTCGAGGCAGCTCTTGCCAAGCCCAGCTATCACCATGGAGCACATTCCCGCTGGCTCCTCTGGAGCAGGCAGATAGGCACTGCCTGCACCTTTGGGAGGGGATGCTGCCAACTGCTTCAGTGGTGACATCTCCTCTCCTGCTGTTCAGAGACCTGCACTGAGGGACAGGTGAGGTGTAAATGGCAGAGGCAAAAGCAACAGCTTTGGCTACTGGTAGAGTAACAAGTCACACATCCACAGGGTTATTGTGAAGAGGAGAGGGAGCTTTCTCGTGCCTTCATCTCATTTCTGTGCTCTTTCAAGTTACCCATGGCACCGCACTCCCTTTCAGAGGAGAGCTCCTCAAAGGGATTTCTCCCTGCTTTACATAGGAAGCAAACTCACTTTAGGGATAAAAGTCCTTCAGGGAGAAGTTTGGACAGTAATCAGGTCTGGATTCTGTGTGGCTTTTGTAGCAGACCTACATGATTTCCCTTCCCATTAGCTCACTGAGTGCTGCTGTTCTTCTCACGGCCCCATAATTTCAGTGGAAACTGGAGAACTGAGTCTTGTGGCTGGGCTTTACTGGAATCTTGGAAAGCTGTCCTGTAGGTTTGTGGAGTGCTGAGTACCACTGGTGCTCACAGAGCACTCAGCACCAGGCAGGTAGAGGCCTTGCAGGGCTGCCAGGGCAGCCTGCAAATTCCAGTCTAATTTTATCCATGGCACAGCCAGAGAACTTAATACCCGTTAAGCCACCTTC